AATCTGTAAAGAAATCATGTACCCCTTTAACCATCACCTTCTAGTTTCTCTCATCACTTCCAGCCCTAGGCAACTGCTAATCAGGTATCTACGTCTATAGATTTCCTTCTTCTGGTCATTTCATATAAATGGAGTCCTACAATATATGACCTTTTGTGTATGGCTTCTTTTGTTTTGCATGTTTTCAAGGTTTGTCCACATTATAGCACACATCGGTGCTTTGTTCCTTTTTAGGGCTGAATAATGGTCCCCATTGAATGGATATAACACATTGTATTTATCCTTTCATCAGTTGATGGACATTTGGCTCAGTTCCGCTTTTTGGCTATTACAAATCATGGTGCCCTCAGCATCCATCCTCAAGTTTTTGTGTGGACATGTTTTCAATTCTCTTGGGTAGATACCTGGGAGTGAAGTTGCTGGGTCCTACGGTACTTCTATGTTTAATTGAGGAACTGTTTTCCAAAGAAAGGCTGCTTTTTCGGAAAGACCTTTCGTGACCAAACCTACCTAAAACAGCTGCCCCCCATCACCATCTCCTTACGTTTTATCCCCAGGGAGAGGGAGGGGACAGTTTAGTACAAGTATATACGTATCCATTGGTGACATTATAGTCCCCAGCACATACTGGTTTGTTTATTTATCGTCTTTCCTTTCCCAAGATTGTAATCTCCATAAACACCAGTAGTTTTGCCAATTTTGGACCTTGCTGAATCTCCAGTGCCTAGAAAGATTTCCGACAGAGAGCAGCTCACGAGGCACATGAGCAGGCATCCCAGAAGCCACAGGAAGTTGCAAGTGGCCACTTATGTAAACACACCCCAGAGAAATCCACAAAATCCCGGCTTCCAAGAGGAAGCATCTGGAGCAGGGAAGCCCGGGCACTGGGGAAGCTGCGGGTCAGAAGCTCGCCGGCTGCGTGGGGGCCTGAGTGGGGGCCGAGATTCTGGGGACTCATGCTTCCAAGAATGCTGATGCCGGAAGTAAAAAAGAGCTGCCTGTCCTCTGTCTGGAGATGTCCCCGGACGCCCCCGCTGCCTTCCCAGGACGCCCCTCCCCGGCTCATCCCAGACTCCATCAGAGCTGCAGCGTCCGCTTGGGGCACAAAGGTTCACTTGTCAAGGCCACGGCCACTCCAGTTAGCCGCGGCCGTACAACCCCCAGCCTCCAACCCGGTGGCTTACAACAACAGCCATCTGCAATTGTTCACAATTCCGTGGCCTGACTGATGTGGCTCCTTTCCTGGCCTTGCCTAGAATCAGCTGGGTTGTTGGATTCGGAAGACAGAACGGTTGGAAGGGTCAAGGGAAGTTTGCGGTCGGGTGGCCCAATGGCGGGTCCTCGCCGCCCCTCCACCTCCCGAAGCCAAGCCAGGCTCCCGAACGCGGCGGCAGGTGGTGGGAAGGCAGAGGCCGCAAGCATCCTGGGGCCCTAATAGCTGGCAAGTCACGGGCTGCCACCTCCGCACACGAATTGGTTAAAGCAAGTCACGGGGGTAATGCCCATTCCCGAGGCCAGGAGAATAGACTCCACCTCTGGTTAGGAGGACTCACAGTCACATCCCGAGAGGCAGGTGTACCCAGAGGGGAGGAATTTGTGGCCAGGATTTTTCAAGTAGAGGCCATCTCGTGTTATCATCATCTTGCTGGTCATTCTTTTCACTTGCCCCCCAGGGAAATGAGCCACAAATCAGCAATTCTTAAATCTTTTCTGGCCAACTCTCTCCCTGAACATGGATAATTCCATTTACTAGGGGTCCCACTGAACTTGGATGGCAACGACGGAGAGAAGATGATAATGTCAGCGACAAGAACAGCTACCTCCTACGGATCCCCACCAGGCTGAGCGTGTCACTGCGCGGAGTCTTTGGGTAACCCCAGAAGCAGAGCTTAAGAATTTGAAAATTCGCGGGGCGCCTGGGTGGCTCAGTTGGTTAAGCGTTGGACTTCAGTTCAGGTCATGATCTGCAGTCTATGAGTTTGAGCTCTGCATCGGGCTCTTTGCTGACAGCTCAAAGCCTGGAGTCGGCTTTGGATTCTGTGTCCCTCTCTCTATTGCTCTCCGCCCCTCCCCTGCTCATGCTCTGTCTCTATCTCAAAAATGAATAAATATTAAAAAAAAAAGAATTTGAAAATTTGACATTTCCCTGGGAGGTGATCCTAGAGGTCCCAAGAGGAAAGGGAAATGGGACAGAGAGACAAGAAAGAGTCAATAAGGGGTATGTTGTGTGTACTGGACCTGAATCCCACTGGGCATCTTCGGAAGGTAGTTTAGAACACATGACTCAGAGTTCTCTTAAACCAGAGTGTTAGCTGTCTTGCACTCCCAACCTGCCCTCCACTTGGGTGAGAGGAAAAAAATCCTCAGGCGAAGAATTCCAGGAGTTTACAAGGAGATAAGTAAATGCCAAGGGAATGTGGATAGGGTGCTGATAGCCCTTTACTGCTTCCATTTTACAGAGGAGGAATTTGAGGCTTATAGTGACACTACCAAGAATCAAGCCCAGGCTCCTCTCTCTCCAGAGCCCTGCTCTTTCCCACTCAGCTATACTGTTTTAGACCTCGAGTTGCTTCTAGTTTAACAACATTTCAAGCTAATGTACCAAAAAAAAAAAAAAGAATTTCAATTATAAGACCTTGCACTTTATTCAAAATGAACTCCAAATGTAAACCCTGTTAGGAAAAACCATAGGAGAAATGTTTGCATTAGGCAGAGTTCTTCGTTAGAACACCAAAAGCAAAATCCATAGAAGAAAAACAGGTACATTGGATTCTGGCAACATTTAAAACTCTGTTCTTTGAAAGCCATTGTTAAAGGAATGAAAAGAAAAGCCACAGACTCGGAGAAAAGATTGGAAAACCACATATGTGATGAAAGGTTTGTTACCAGAATATTCTAAAGAACTCTCAAAACAATAAGAAAATAAGCAACCCATTTTTAAAACATTTTTTGGTGTTTTTTTATTTTTGAAAGACAGAGAGCATGAGCGGGGAGGGAGCAGCAAGAGAGAAGGAGACACAGGATCCGAAACAGGCTCCAGGCTCTGAGCTGTCAGCACAGAGCCTGACGCAGGACTCGAACTCACAGACAGTGAGATCATGACATGAGCCAAAGTCAGACGCTTAACCGAATGAGCCACTCAGCTCATTGTTTTTAAACAAACACTCCTAATTGAAGTGTGTGTGTGTGTGTGTGTGTGTGTGTGTATGAGTGAACATCAAGGTAGGTATCTTGGATACCTGCAGTTAGGGTAGATTTCTTGGATAATCCTTGCAAGGAAGTTCACTTAATCCAACTTGGTGAAGCCTGTATCCTTCACATACTGATGGAGACACTGGTCGCACATATTGAGCCGTGTTTCCAGATCACACTGTACCAGTTTGAGCAGACACAGCAAGAACGAGAACCCTGGCCCAGTTTCCTCGGATGGCTCCCATAAAGCTGCGAGTGACCATCTTGCTCTCTCAGATCAATCTATTTCTTTAAATGGGCAAAAGATCAGAAGAGACAGGTCACCAGATAAAATATTAAGATGGCAAAGAAACACGTGAAAAGATGTTCCACATCATTAATCATCAAGGGGATGCAACTTAAAATCACACCATGCAAATAATAGAATGGCTCAAATTAAAAAGACTAACCATGCCATGTGCTAGCAAGAACTCAGAGGAAACGGAACTCTCATTCATTGGGATGAAAAATGGCACAACCATTTTGGAAAATAGTCTTGGCAGTTTCGAAAAAAATGAGACACATGCCTCCCATGTAACGCCACCATCCACTCCTGGGTATACACCCAAGAGAAATGAGAGCATACGTGCACAAAAATCCTTGCTCCCAAAAGTTCACAGCACTTGTATTCACGATGGCTGCAACCGAGAACAGCCCAAATGCCCACCAGCAGGCAAGTGGGTCATGAGGCTGGCATATCCACGCAACGAAATTCCACTCAGCAGTAAAAAACGAATGAGGTATTACTGCAGCCGCATGGATGAATCAAAATAATTATGCTGAGCAAACGAAACCAATCTCGAAGGGCTGTATGGTGCCATTTCTACAAATGCTAGAAAAATGCAAACAAATCTAAAGACAAAAAGCAGATCCATGGTAGGGGCGCCTGGGTGGCTCAGTCGGTTGGGCGTCCGACTTCTGCTCGGTCATCATCTCGCAGTTTGTGAGTTTGAGCCCCTCCTCGAGTGCAGAGCCTGCTTTGGATTCTCTCTCTTTCCCCGTCTCCCGGTCCCTTCCCCATCTGTCTTCTACATGGCCACAGAAACATAATGAATTGGGTGAATGAAAGCTTTATCACCTGTTGATGCTAAAGATGAAGAAAAGGGTAAATGATTTGCCTGAGGTTATCATCTGGCTCGTAGGTGAGATTTTACATCTCCTTATTCTGGATGAGGCCCATTTTCTCCCACTGTACTTAAAGGATTTCCTCTTGGCTCTGGATTCTCATTTAGAGAAAGCAAGAGCCGGTGACAGACCCCTCCCAGGTACCCACCGAAGCCCTCATCTCGCCCCTCATTCAGCCAGATTCTCCCCATGGTCTCAAACTCACCACTTCCAGAAACATGCTGACAGCACCCCCAAACAGTGAGGACAGCCATTCGCTTGGAGTTAAGGGAAGTCTGCTTTCACTAAAGCCCCACCAGGTCATGACGTGTCCACGTTGACCCAGGGGTAGAAAATTGCTGCCATATTTATGGCAAGTTCAGTGGAGACGTGGTCTACACGTCTGTTGGAGGGATTCCGCTCGGAGAATTTGCTGCACATTTCCAGATGCCTGACCCGACTTGCCTGCTGCATGTATCAAGAGCCCAGCACCTCTGGCTGAATTTTGTGCCCCAGACTCCTTAACTCTCTTAGAGTTCTATTCCCTTCCACAGACAGGGCCCTGCACTGTGATTGGTCAATGAATCCCTGGCACCAGGAACTGAGAGGAAGATGGAAAGGAAGGAAAAGAGGAGGCGGGACCAGCAGGGGCTACATTTATATCTATGCCCAGGGCTGGGTGCCCACTCACCATGGACACTGCCCGGTACAGCAAGTGGCGCGGCGGGCTCGAGGATGCCCCTGAAGGTATGAGCGATGAGACTCCCTCACTGGGCCCCCTGGGGTCTCTCAGGCCAGAGGTTTGGGGTCTGATGGGAGAAGGAAGGGGAACAGCCAAGAGGGGGTCCATGCAGTGGGTGCAGGAGAGACATCGCAGGCGCCAGAACCAGCTGGACCTGAATTCGAATTATGACTCTGCCACTTCAGAAGCTGTGTGACCACGAGCAAGTTATTTCACCTCTCTGAATCTCCGTTCCCTGGGAGGAAGCCAAGCTCCGAGGGCTCTGTCCTCAGGGGCCCAGAGGTCCAGGGCAGTCCTGGTGCAGGGGAGACCCACAGAGTCCATCTGTGTTATCCCAGGGCGCTGGGGACACTGGGGACGGAGACTCTTCTTCCTGGTCCTGGTGCTGGTGGCAGCCTTAGTCCTGTGGGCCCTCATTCTGAGCATCCTATTTTCTCAGGGTGAGTGACGCATAATGAGGTCCCCCCGGGGGGAGCAAAGACCTTGCCTCTGTCTCAGGTCGCTCCAGCAGGGTCCCGGACCCCTGCCTGGGTCGGAGTGTGAACATGAGTGAACAGAGCTTGTGCATGCCTTTGGCCTGTGTGACCCACCTGTGTATGCGTGTGCATGCATGAATGTGTGTGCATGTCCCCGTGTGTCTGTCTCTCCTCCGTGTGTGTGTGTGTGTGTGTGTGCACATCACGTGCACTGTGCGCCTTGCCGCCCCTTCTGCGCGTCCCGACACGGGGGCTCCTTCACCCCCTGGGCCAGGGGAGAGCTCCGGGGTCCCCCGGCCCCGCCTGCAGGAGCCTCTCTCCACAGCCTCCACGGAGCGGGGGGCGCTCTTCGGCCACCAGGACCTGCTGAGGACAAACGGTGCGTGCACTCGGTGACTCTTAACCCCCCAGATGTGCGGGGCCGGAGTGTCTAGGACCCTGGAGACAGGGTGGGTGACGACCCCTCAGTCCGGGGGCTGGCCCGAGAGTGGGGAAGGGTGTCCTGTGAGTCCCCGCAGATGACCTGGAGTGTGTGGGGGGCGTGCGGGGGTCATTCCAGCCTCGAATCAGAAGGCGGCGCTGGGTGTTTTGAACGAGGAGTTCCGAGCCTGCAACAGCTGCTGTAAGACGTGTGTGCAGGGGGCGGGGCTGCCGTAAGACGTGGGTGCTGGGGGCGGGGCTTCTGTAAGAAGTGTGTGCTGGGGGCGGGGCTGCCGTAAGACGTATGTGCTGGGGGCGGGGCTTGGGCCTGGCTTGGAGCCCGAGAGTTGCGGTGGGATCTGCAGCAGGTGGGGGCGGGGCGGGTTGGTCATGGACGTCCCGCGCGCATCCTCCCTCCCTTCCCCCCTCCTTCCCAGGCTCAGGGACACAGACGCTGCTGCAGAGGGCACGCGCGGAGCTGGGGGAGGCGCAGGCGAAGCTGATCGAGCAGGGAAATGCCCTCAAAGAACTGAGCGATCGCGGTGAGAGCTGGACATTGCCTCGACCCCTGATCCCTCACCCTGGCTGTCACTCGACCCTTGATTCACATACTGACACCTATCCTGGAGATAGGTCCTGGGTGACCGCGACCCTATCCTGTGATCCTGACCTCCGACCTCCTCTGATCTCAACTACAACTCATAACCCCAACCGCAACTTGGCCCCAACCAGCTGTAACAGTCCTTGCCTGTGATGTCGTTCTTGACCATGACCATGACCACGGACATGGATGCTGACCTTTACCTAATTATGACCCTCCTCCTGACGCTGACCTGAGCCATAATCTGGACTCCCTTGACTTTACAGTGACCCAGAGCTTGGCTGAAGCGGGCCGGGACCGCGAGAACATCCGCAGCGAGCTGCTCAGGGCTCTGGAGGCCGCCCGGCTGGGGAACAGTGAGCAAGACAGAGGGGAGAGAGGAGGGGACAAGTGGACCCTACCTGTGGGCCTTGGGATTCCTTGACCAGAGCTGTCCTGCCCTTTGACCGTGGCCTATCCTCTGCGGCTGCGCCCCTAGACCTACCTCCCCCCAGTTTTTTCCGTCCGTTCTACCCGGGAGCAATTCACTTCTCTGACCTTCTTTTGACCTTCCCGCAGGCTCCTGTGAGGAGTGCCCCGCATCGTGGCTGCCCTTCCAGGGCGCCTGCTACCTTTTCTCCATCCTGCGCGCCACGTGGGAGGAGTCGCAGCGCTACTGCGCGGGCAAAGGCGGGCACCTGGTGATAGTCGGGGACCTGGAGGAGCAGGTGTGCAGCCCCCGAGGTCCCAGGCGGGAGGCGGAATTCACCTGAGGGGGCCTGGCCGGGGGATGCGGGGCGGGGAGCGAGGCCGACTCGGATGGCTCAGTCCCCTTCCCCCCTGAGGAGGCGTGGCCGGGAGGGGTGCGGGGCGGGGGGCGAGGCAGACTCGGATGGCTGTCTCCTTCCCCGCGCAGGGCTTCCTGAGTCGGAACACGCATGGCCGCGGCTACTGGCTGGGCCTGAGGGCCGTGCGCCGCGGGCGCCAGATCCAGGGCTACCAGTGGGTAGACGGAGTCCCGCTCAGCTTCAGGTGAGGGAAGGGACTTGGGGAGAGGGACAGGTCAGACCCTAGCGGCAGTGCTTTGGCCAGATCTCAGGGACTCTGTGGGATGGGCAGGCTGGACACCAGGCCCTGGCGGAGCGTTTAAATTCTGGGAGTTAGAAAGTTATCTCCCAGGTGCTTGCTCAGAGTAGACCCGCGGGGTGTCTAAATTGGACCCAAGCAGTACCAGGATAGATCCCAGGGCCGGACGCCAGGCCCATCCTCAGACTCCCAGAAACACCCCCCGACAAACCTCCGCAGCCACTGGAACCTGGGGGAGCCCAATGACTCTATGGGGCGCGAGGACTGCGTGATGATGCTACGCACCGGGATGTGGAACGACGCACCGTGCGACAACGAGAGGGACAACTGGATTTGTGAAAAGAGGCGCAGCTGCTGACCCCGCCCCGCGCCCCGAGAGCCCCGCCCACCGCCCGTGGCCGATCCCTGAGCGGTTCCCCTTCCCCGCGCCGCCCACCTCCATCGATTTCTTTATTTTTCTCCATCCCTGACTACGGAGAACCATCCCTCCCAGCCTTGTCTGGTACAGGCACTGGGACCTCCGCTCCAGCCTCACCGCAAGCCCTCGGGTGGTCCTAACCTAGCCTCCACCGCACCCAAACCACCGGGTCCACTGACCCCACCTCCCTCCCTAGCCAAAGCCGGGCAATTCAGGGACCGAGCTGTTTGGTGTTCTTGCATCTTTCCCCCCAGACTGGGAAGCCTTACAGACAGGGGGTTTTGTGAGCTGTCTTCGCAGCACTTAGGAAGCATCAATAAATCTTGAGAAATGAATCTTGGTTCATGGCTTTGGTGAGCTGTTCTACGTATAATCCCAGAGGCCCTGATATTTATCCCCGTGAGTGACCCTGACCTCTGTCAGTGACCTTCTGGTCCTAAGATGCCCCAACACTCAGGGAGTCAAGGAGTAACGCGTACGGAGCCAGGATGGCTGTAAGGCACTAGGACATGGAATGACTCAGACCCAGCTCTCCGATCTCGCTGGGCATTGGGATGATGCTGTGATCAGTGATGGCAAGGAGTGACGCGCGAGGCATCTGGAGGGAGGCACGCCTCTGGAACACTGTCACCCCATTGTGGAGATGAGGCAGTCTGAGACAAGGCCCTGAGGCAGGTGGGAGACGGCATGCCGGGACCTGAGGAGCAAGTCCTTTCTGTCTTGTGTTGGTAGGCTCGTGACCACTGGGCGGAGTGATCAGGAAATACATTGCAGAGAAGATGGTCCTTCGAGCACCAATGGGATTTCAGCACGAGGAGCTGGGAAAGAAGGTCTTTGCAAGCAGGGGTTGGGGAGGATGGCGGAGCCCATTTTTGGGGGGTGCAGGGTGCACTGAGCCTGGCTTTAGCAGCCGGGGACTTTTGATGTGAATTCACCCTGCACTCCCAAAGTGTCCTGCTCCCGTCCTGGAGACACAGGGGCTCTCCCAGAATTTCCAGCGGAGACGGGTCCAACTGAGGGGAAGGACAGGCTAGTAGCCTTTACTCCGGGGCAGCTCGGGAACCCCCAGGCCGCCCAGCCCTGAGAGCAGCGACTGAGCAGGCAGAGGAGGGAAAACCACCTGCACACACCCCCCCACCCCGCCCAGCCAGGGGAGACCTTTCTGCGAACACCGACCCTTCTCTGGATGCTCTACTACTGCAGCCCAGAGCTAGGCACTCACCAGGCGGAGAAGCCACCTGAGTCCCGGACAGACAAACTACCTAGTGGACTGCTGGCCAGTAGACTGATGGGTTTCCAGACAGTCGGCTTGGAGGGGTGTATGAGTTTCGTGGGGCGCCAGCTTACAGACCACACACATCCTCTTACAGTTCTGGAAGTCAGAAGTCCAAAGTTAGTTTTCCTGGGCCAAAAATCAAGAGGTCACCAGGGCCAGGCTCCCTCTGGAAGCTCCAGGGAAGAATCGGGTTCCTTGACTTTTCGAGCTTCTTGAGCTGCATTCCTCACATTCCCTGGCCCCTGGCACCTTCTTCCATTTTCAGAATCGGTAGGGTAGGAACTTGCTTCACCGATCACGTTGCCTTCCATGTCACATCTCCCTCTGCTTCCCTTCGTACAAGGACACTTGCAATTTGCAGCGTAGGGCCCACCCAGATAATCCAGGATGAATCCCTGTGATCTTGATCTTGCAAAGCAACTTTGGCACTAATCACCCTGACTTAGCATAGATGCCACCCACAGATGAACAGTATAGTTTCTTTTTCTTTCTAAATGTCCACTTATTTTTGAGAGAGAGAGAAAATCCCAAGCAGGCTCCGCATCGTCAGTGAAGAGCCTGACGCGGGGCTTGAACTCACAAACTGTGAGATCGTGACCTGAGCTGAAATCAAGAGTCAGACACTTAACCACCTGAGCCACCCAGGTGCCCCCCTCACCTGTCTTTTTAAATGTTTATTTATTCAGGAGCGCCTGGGTGGCTCCGTTGGTTGGGCATCTGACTTCGACTCAGGCCATGATCTCATAGTTCATGAGTTTGAGCCCGCGTCTGGCTCTGCGCTGGCAGCATGGAGCTTGCTTAGGATTCTCTCTCTCCCTCTCTCTATCCTCCCCCACTCATGGCCTTGCTCTCTCTCGCTCTCTCAAAGTAAATAAATAAACATTTAAAAATAAAATTTTATTTATTTAAGTAATCTCTACACCCAACATGGGGCTCGAACTCATGACCCTGAGATCAAGAGTCACATGGTCTTCCGACTGAGCCAGCAAGGTGCTCCTAAAGGTATAGGTCCTAACAAGACTGCCCTCACTGCAGACACCAGATGCAGGTTTGGGGTTGCCTAGGACACCCACTCTTCGAACTAACTGATTCTGACCAACTGATACAAATTCAGAGGATCTCAATCCTCTGAACCGCCCCATCCCGGTTCCATAATTCACTAGAATGACTCAGAGAACTCAGGAAAGTTCACTACATACTTACAGCTTTATTATAAAGGACACACCGAGACAAGCCCAATGAAGAGATGATATGGCAACGGCCAGGAGGGTCCCAAACACAGAGCTTTTGTGTTCGGTCCCCATGGACCCAGGACATGTCACCTTCTCGGCACAGTGATGTTTTCACCAACCGGGAACCTCCTATGAGCGTTGGTGTCGAGTTTTTACTGGGATTTCATCTCGAAGGCGCTGTTGATTGAATCAGTGGCCACACGACTGCCCTCCATCTCCAGCCCCTTCCTTTCTTCAAGGTCAGGTGGTTGAAGGTCTCACCCTCACGGTTGGTCTTTCTGGCATGACCAGCTCCCACCCTGAGCCATCCCCTCCGTATAATTCAGGTGTGGTCCAAGGGGACCCCACGGATGACAAAGACACTCCTGGCACTCGAGAAATCCCAAGGGTGCAGATGATCCCTTCCAGGAGCAAGAGACAAAGACCAGCCACATTCTTAAAGATCTACATCTTCCCACCTCTAAATTCTTAGCCACATCTGCAAAACCGCTGTTGCCATGTAAGATGACAGTCAAGGTTCCAGGGATTAGGACCTGGATAGGCTCAGGGCCACTGTGCAGCCTCACACAAGACGTGACCAGCTGACAAACAGGCTCACAGGGAGGCCAGGAGCCAGAAAATCTGCCTGGTGTCTAAGTGCTTGGTGAGTGGGTTAATGATGGTCTGGGGGACTCACAGATCCTAGGCTAACATAACTCACAAGCAGGTGGAGACCCCTGGCCAACTGAAGACCAACAGAGACCGACTGACAGCCTACAGCTGGACTTCAAGTCTGGCCGACAACCTGACCGGCAGAGTCCCCGATGCCCTGGGGGACAGACACCCCACAGCACAGATGGGCAAAGAGGCCCAGATGTTTCTCCTGGGAATGGAGCCGAATGGGCACTGTGGTTGAGGCAGAAAGGGGAGACCCCAGAGCTAAGCAGGAGCTGCCCTGGGATCTTTAATTTTATTTCTTTAATGTTTATTTATTTATTTTTGAGACAGGGGAGGGGAGGGGCGGAGAGAGAGGGAGACACAGAATCCGAAGCAGGCTCCAGGCTCTGAGCGGTCAGCACAGAGCCCGATGCGGAGCTTGAACACACAAACCCCGAGATCATGACCTGAGCTGAAGTTGGACGCTGAACCGACTGAGCACCCCGGGTGCCCCTGCCCAGGAATCTTTTAAAGACCTGGTTCTGGCTGGAGCAAGCCCCTCAGCTCAGACACTGGGGTCTGGGGCCTGAGGGAGCCCTGGGTAGGAGCCCAGAGAGCAACGTAACTGCCCTCGAGACGTCTATTGTGCCCTGTGCCATCTGCCATGCCCTGTCCTGGTCAGCTCACAGGCACTGCATCCCCGCTGCCTGGCTCCCACGTGTCAGCCTTGAGTTGGTTCACGAAGACCCTGCAGGAAAGGGTCAGGGTTAAGTTACGCAACTTTGGTTTCCTGGTCCCAGGTCCTCCCTCCTCCAAGATTCAACCTCCCTGGGAAGAAAGGCATCCCTGGAGCCTAGCGCTAATCCCAGAACAGACCTCAGCCTTTGGTTGGCTTTTGTTTTCCTAGAGAATCAGTCTCGCCAGAAAGACTAAATTCTCAAGCTGATACAGGCAGAGACCTGAATACCAAGAAGCCCTGTGATGTTTCCCCGCTGAGAGGCTGGCTGGCCAGGTCAGCGGTCTTAAAGACGGACCTCCATTCCTGGAGACCCCAAGGCTCGACAGCGCCCCGTAGGATCTGAAATATACCTGTAATGTGCCTGGGACACAACAGTAATTGATGAGAACACCGTGACAGGTCTGTAGTGGATGGAACAATATCTCCCCAAGCTGTCTGTGTCCCAGTGCCCTGAACCTATGAATGTGTCGCCTTATATGGCCATAGGGACTAGGCATGTGTGATTAAATTAAGGACCCTGCGGTGAAGACATCACCGGATGATCCAGGTGGGCCCAATGTAATCACAAGCGTCCTCGAAAGTGAAAGAAGGCAGGAGAGTATCCAGGAGAGAGACGTGGCTACAAAAAATGGTCAGTGTGATATGACCTGAGAAGGGCCTGGCCCACCATTGCCGGCTTTAAAGATGCAAGGAGGCACCGTGAGCCAGGATGTGGGAGGACCTCAGAAGTCCGAGAAGGCAAGGGAGACCACAACACACCTATGGGAACGACCAAAATCCAAACACGAACCCCACCAATACTGGCGAAGATGTGGACATGGCCAGTATGCGGACAATAGGAATGTCATTCGCTGCCGGTGGGTGTGCAGAATGGGGCAGCCGCTTTGGAAGACAGACTGGAAGCTTCTTACAAAACTAAACCTACTCTTTTTTTTTTAATGTTTTATTTATTTTTGAGAGAGGTAGAGTGAGCAGGGGAGGGTCAGTGAGAGATGGAGACACAGAATCCAAAGACAGGCTCCAGGCTCTGAGCTGTCAGCACAGAGCCCGAACCGGGGCTCGAACCCACAAACCGTGAGATCATGACCTGAGCCGAAGTCGGACGTACAACCGACTGAGCCACCCAGGCGCCCCAAAACTAAACCTACTCTTACCATAAAAGCCAGTAATTGTGCTCCTTGGTGTCTACCCAAAGGCGTTGAAAACTTATGTCCACATGAAAACCCACACGCGAATGTTTATGGCAGCCTTATTCACACTGGCAAAGCTTGGAAGCAATTCAGACGTCCTTCCAAAGGCGAGTGGACAAACAGATGGTACATCCAGATAATAGAATGTCATTCAGTCAGTGCTAAAAAAAAACGTGTTATCAGCCATGAAGAGGCACGGAGGAATTTTCGATGCACATTAGTAAGTGAAAGAGGCCAATCTGAAAAGGTTACATACTGTATGATTCC